GGCAGAGTGCTAAGTTTCTTTCTGATGTTGTACCTTCTCATACCTAAAATAATTATTATCTTATTCTAGCTAATGCTACTAGTAAGTGGCAGAGCTTGGATTTGAAGTATTTTTGTTTGTAAATTTCTCCCTAAACATCACAAGTTTGGGGAGAAAGACAAACGATATTTAGGACTATCTCATATGTGGTCTGTCAGGTGACTTCATCTTTGGCTTATGGTGACAAAATATGAGGGGTATTCAAATTCTAGGAAAATATTTGAAAAAATGCTGGAAAAGAAAAAGGTGAAGGGGGTTTTGTTTTGTTTCTTTTACTTGCACAGAAAGACATAGCTATCTGTATGTGGTATTCATTTTCAAGATGATTGCTTTGAAACCCTGCAAGGTCTTTTTTTTTTTTTAAGATTTTATTTACTTATTTGACAGAGAGGGAGACAGCGAGAGAGGGAACACAAGCAGGGGGAGTGGGAGAGGGAGAAGCAGGCAGGCTTCCCACTGAGCAGGGAGCCCGATGTGGGGCTCCATCCCAGGACCCTGGGATCATGTCCTGGGATCATGACCTGAGTCGAAGGCAGACGCTTAATGACTGAGCCACCCAGGCGCCCCTGAAACCCTGCAGGGTCTTTTTTATGACTCCAGATAATGCCTTTGGAATCATGAAAGAAAGTATGTGTGTGTGTGTGTGTGTGTGTGTATTCACATAATTTAAAAATATATATGTATATTTTTCAGTATTTCTTATTTTACATTTACTCTATTTTAAATAGGTAACATTAGCAATGCATATAGCCCCTTTAACTAGAATTTGTATTTTTCTGAACCATGCCAAATAAGATTCACCTCTCATTTTATTCAGAACAGATCTACTGTTTGATGTTGCACTCTTAAGGGTAATGATAGTGTTTGCTAAAGTTACAGCGATCACTGGATAAAGTACTTTCTGGGAATTTTTTGTTAAATCCTGGTGTTAAAGAGCAAAGGATACTGTTTCTTCAATTGAGATCAAACTGAATTTCATACCACTTCCAGTAGGGTCAAGTTATGCATCTGTGTAGTGATATTGTCTACAATAGTCTAATTTTTTGTTTATTCATATAGCTTTAAAGGTATAATTAGAAGACACTCTTTATAACAAATTTGTTTTCCCAAAGAAAATAATGTTCATAGTAGTAAAGGCCCTTGGAAGATGGGCAGGTCTAGTTCAACCTGTGTATTTTATAGGATCTGTTATGATTGAGGTGATATGACTTCTGAACCAAGAAATATTAGAGGAGAACTGGAAAAAAGATGTTTATTTTATCTGACTTGGAAATTTATAAAAATATATGAAAATATACACAAGGTTTATTAAGAAATTAAAAGGTGATTGTCATAATAAAATTATAATAAAAATAAAATTAATGTTGCAGTGTTACATTTGTCTTTCATTAATAGTTGATGTGATGATATATTGTTTTATTCAACTTTTTTATTTAGCATTGTGCTTCTAGAACATTTTCAGATATTGGCAAATTTTAGATTATTGAATGATTTTGCAGTTGGAAAGGCTTTCAATTAATGTATGACTCTCTAAAAGTTGTAATTTAATATAATTAACCTCAAAATTGCAGCATTTATTTATGGTAGTGAGGCAGAAAATATGTTTATTTAGGTTTGAAATACTGATGTATTGAAGTTGAAACTTTATTTCCTAAAATTCATTTACTTGACAGGTACTAACTGTGTCTTACATTAGGCAATGGGGTCTCAAGGCAAAGCAAGATGGCCTTTGCTACTAAGAAACTTAAGGTCAAATAGTGAAGTCAGATAGATAGATGTTAACTATGTAAGGTAATACTTGAGGATATGTAAAGGAGTAGTATTACATCCCAAATGGAAGAGAATGGGAAAGGAGTCAGGGATGACATCCTGGAAGGGACAATGTTAGAGAATTAGGAATATTTCACATCAGAGTTGCAGGAAGGGCATCCTAAGCAGGTGATCCCACATCTGCAAATGCCCAGCAGGTGAGAGTGAACAGAAAATGGCAAGCAGTAATCAGTCCAATTAGAGAATTAAATAGGAGGGGGATAATGAATCTGGAGATATAAATAGCATCTAAACATAGAAGAGTCTCTCTAAAAAATATGGATAATTTTATATATATATATATATATATATATAATCTTTCTCTTTTTTAGCTGGGAAGCTCTCAGTAGGAAATCAGGACCTTAATTTAAAAGACTATCAGTTAGACAAAGTAAAATCTAAAGGATTTTTATCTCCAATAGATTTTATATCTGTTTCATGTTATCCCATTCAATATCTCTTAGTATTTATGATGTTTTTACTTAAATTAGGTTAAATATATTAGTAACCTAAGTGTATTATTGGTACCCAAAGGAAGTCTGGTTGTTTTCATGAAGCACTTAGGAAGAGAGGAGTAATTACTATATTTTTTTTCTGAATTTTTTTATTAGTTAAATCCTTTGAATACTTGCTAAAGAGATATTGAATGAGTCCCTATTTTTAAATGCTGACACAGGGGCGCCTGGGTGGCTCAGTCAGTTAAGTGTCTGACTTTAGCTCAGGTCATGATCTCAGGGTCCTGGGATTGAGCCCCTGTTGGGCTCCCCACTCAGCAGGGATTCTGCTTGCCTCCCTCCTGCTACCCCTCCTCCCACTAGTGCTTAATCTCTCTCAATTAAATAAAATCTTAAAAAAAATAATACATTTTTTTTCATTATTTCAGTCTTACTGATGCTTTAGTTAACATATTCTCAGTTGTGATTTTTCATTAATGTGCATGATTTGTTTCCATTCAATGCCTAGTGAAGAATTTTGTTATAATTGGAGCATTATTAACCATTATGATATTTAGCTGGTGGTGAATCTATGGTTATAAATGCATTAATGTCAAGATATTTACCATTATTACTAATAGGATATTTTCAGTATTTGTGTATATTGAAATATTTATTGGCCTTTTTTTTAGCATTTCTTGCTTTTGTGTCAGCATTTATTTTATTATTTTTTATATCCCACTTTGGAAATTGGAAATTGGTTAAATTAGATTTAACCTGGGAGGAAAATTAGATATTTTTAATTTGTGAGATTTTGAGAGCTAAAGTGTCTTTGTTTGTATTTTAAACTTTATTTTCTGGGGCACCTGGGTGGCTCAGTTGTTAAGCGTCTACCTTCGGCTCAGGTCATGATCCCAGGGTCCTGGGATTGAGGCCCGCATTGGGCTCCCTGCCCAGCAGAAGCCTGCTTCTCCCTCTCCAGTCTCCCTGCTTGTGTTCCCTCTCTAGCTGCCTCTCTCTGTTAAATAAATAAATAAAATCTTTTAAAAAAATAAACTTTATTCTCCCAAAGGCTTACAAGAATATGCAGATATTTTGGGAGTGTGTTTTACACATAGTTGATTTAGATTCAAATTTAGTGAATGCAAGTAGAAATCATTTAATAAAAATCATTTAATGCAAATCTGTTAGATTTTATATCATTTGGGACAAAATATTAAATATTTTTAAATGTGAATCTGAAAGGGAATATATTTTTTCATTTTTGTTTCATACTTCTTCAGGACCATGAAAGTATTTCACTTGATCAATCTCATAATGTTTCTGTAAGAATAATAAAATGGAGGGCTGGTCATTTTATGTAGTATTTGTTATTGTTCAGTTAGGTAGTTTTGGTTGCAAAAAACAGCAAAATGAAACAGTCTGATTCAAGTTGATGTAGGGGGTGTATACATTACAGTTAAGGAATTACGTGAAATACAGAAATAAAGCAAAACAAAGCAAAACAGGAACCAGTTGGGACACATTATGAAAATCAGTGAAAAATAGCAGTCATCAGAATGGCAAGATTGACCATACAAGTGGGAATCTCTTGTAGAAGTAGAAGCATAGCTGGACCTTCAGCAGCACACGGTTTGGCTCTTCACTCCACTGAAGGCAGAATTATCATCTGATTATGAGCTGATCCTTTGGTTACATAAGGATTCATTTCTTATTCCTGCTTTACTACTCATTAGCTGAATAACAGAAAGTTAACCTTTCTGCTGTCAAATGACCATGGTATTAGTAGCTGCTTCTACAGTTAAAAGCATTAAAAGAGATAATCTGTGTAAGAAAAGTATTTGGTACATCACAGTTAATGAACTGTAGAGCTGCCACCTTCACGTCCTCTTCCGTCTTTTTCTCCATCATCACCACTCTGACATTAACGTGGTGCATAAATTTTCTGTGCTTCTGCTTCTGTCAGTATGTATTCTTACTTGTTTCAGCATTACCAGTTTAATTAATTTTCATTCAAGTCTTTTCTTCAGCTCATAGTCATGGTTTCCTCATAACCTTATCTTGTTTATAACCCTGCATTGTATCCTTTGTGGTTTAGTTTCATCTGCCAGTGTCCTGATTATCTCTCACTGCCCCAAAATCAAACTCCAAGGAGAAGAATACTTCCTGTTTCGCTTTTCTTTGACTCAAGATTCTAGTGTCAGATCATTCCTTAGTCTGGTCTGTGATTCTGTTAAGTTCAGATCAGTAACTTGTTGAGTCTTGTGATATATCTGCCGCTGGCCGGTAGAGGCAGAGGTGGGTCATTTTACCCAAATTGGCAATGATTATGGTGGTCACATGGCTACTACATCTGAATCAGTAGACATAAAAAGTGTGAGGATCAGTTTACCAAATTATAGAACTAGTGGGAGTAGTAAAGCTGGGTCTTGAATAGTGATCTTGTGTCTCCCAACCCAATAATCTCTTCAATAGACTAAATATTCTTGGTAATCTTGAAATGTTTGAGCCATTATAAAATTGCTGTGCAAATTATTGGGTAATTTTGCTACTTAAAATTTCAAAAAATCCTTTAGTATCGGAATTTTATTATTTATTATTTTAGTGTGAACCGAATTCTATTCCATGTGCTGAAAAACAGTGTTTTGTTTTAAAATGTCTTTATTATAATTATAATTGAATGCTACTGACTTGTTCTTTTTGTTTTAACTTTTTTAGGTTGCTAAGTTGGCTATCACAGTGCAAGCCTTGGAGTCCCAATGGGGGACTCAGGATCAAGACGATCTACTCTGGTCTCCCGGTTGCCAATATTCAGGAGAAGTATTAGCAGAAGACATGATTCTCTTCCTTCTTCACCGTCCTCCAGTAATACAGTTGGTGTCCACAGTTCCTCTCCTTCCAGCACTAACTCAAGCTCAGGTAGTACAGGTAAACGCAGGAGCATATTCCGTACTCCTTCCATTAGTTTCCACCATAAGAAGGGGAGTGAACCTAAGCAAGATGCTACCAACCAGAACCTTAGTATTTCAAATGGTGCTCAATCTGGTCATAGCAGTATGCCAAAACTGAGTTTGGAAGAACATATTAAAACCAGGGGAAGACATTCTGTTGGTTTTAGCAGTTCACGAAATAAGAAGATAACAAGATCTTTAACAGAAGATTTTGAAAGGGAAAAGGAGCACTCAACTAATAAGAATGTCTTTATAAATTGCCTAAGTTCTGGCAAAAGTGAGGGGGATGATTCTGGATTCACAGAAGAACAAACTCGCCGTTCTGTTAAGCAGTCAACAAAGAAGCTACTTACTAAATCTTTTTCATCTCACTATAAATTTTCTAAACCAGTTCCACAGAGTCAATCCATTTCATTGGTACAACAGTCTGGATTCTCATTGGAAATTACACAGTTCCAAGAGAGAGAGCCTGTATTAGTAAGAGCTTCTCCGTCTTGTTCCGTGGATGTAACAGAACGGGCAGGAAGCTCTTTACAATCTCCGTTGCTTTCTGCTGATCTTACAACAGCTCAGACACCTTCAGAGTTCTTAGCCTTGACTGAAGATTCTGTGTCTGAAACGGATGCATTTCCTCAAAGTGGAAGCATGGCATCCCACTGTGACAACTTTGGCCACAATGATTCTACCTCTCAGATCTCTTCCAATCCTGCTGCTGTTACAAAGACAACAATAGACCTTATGGGAACTGTTCCCTGTGCAATTATGTCTCCTGGAAAATACAGGTTAGAAGGCCGATGTAGCACTGAATCTAATTCCTTATCAGAAACCTCTGCTGCTAATCAGAAGGAAGTGTTATTGCAAATCACTGAACTACCTGTTATGAATGGGAACAACTCGGAGACTCACCAATCGGGTGATATGCAAAGAGAAGAACATATGGTAGTACAAAATGGTGAAAAAATGTTGGTGACAAGCTCCCCAAGGAAACTTGGATTTTATGAGCAACATAAAGCAATAGCTGACCGTGTTAAAGGGATTCATCCTATTTCAGATTCAAGGATAATACCCTCTTCTGGTGATCATCATATTTTTAACAAAACATCATATGGATATGAATCAAACCCTGCCAAAGGTAAGCTGATTTTGTTTGTATTGTAAATATGAAATAAAATATTCATTCTAATTTATTTAATTTTCTTATTCCATCTCATGAATAGAAACCACCTTTTCCTTATGTTTCACTCTGTAGTATTTTTTCTTATTTATAATTGGTCTTAAATCTTTTCTCTACTTGATTTTAAACTCACTTCACTTGTATTACGCTAAAAATGTAATTCAGCAATATCACTCATTTTTCTTAGTTGTGTTGTCCAGATTCTGGTCCTCAGAAGAGAGTGGAAAGAAATTAATTTTATTTGGAGTGTGGCTTTATCTAAAATAAGGATTTCTTTTTTTAGAGTAAAGGGTTAGAGTATTGGTATTTCTTAGTCAATGAAATTAATTTTATTTCTTAGTCAATGAAATGGATATATTCCAGCCAAAATCACTATAAAAGAAATTTGTATAACTTAAATTCTATTTCCTATTTTAGCAAAACTTGAATTATTAAGTAGGATCTATGTTTCAGCACAAATAATCTCTATCTTTAAATATGATAGGCTTGCAAGCTTTAAAAATACTGTCCTTGGAGCCTGGGTACTGTGGTTCTAACCTTGCCTCTGTCATTAAGTACCTGTGTAACCTTGGGTACCTACTCTTTGGTTAAGAAAAAAGGCGGGGCGGGGGGATGGGTGGTTGAATTACTCCAGTATGTCATTTAACAGAAAACTTTGTTATTTAATATAAATTTCAGTTAAGAAAACTGTTGAATATATGCCACCTACTGGACTGTATTTGACATTATTTTTATTTCTTTTCTCTGCTGTGATTCCTGCTGCTGCCACTGCTTCTGCTGTTGCTAGTCCTGCTATTCCTATTACTGTTACTGCCAATTAGTTCTCCCAACATCGAATGCTTATTATGTCTCATTTCCCATTCTGTGGACTTTGGATACATTAATTCATCAAATTCTCACATGATTGTAATCGCTACTATTATAGTCACCCATTTTACAGATAAGATAATTGGAACACAGATATGTTAAGTAATGTGTCTGAAGTCACAACGTTAGTAGATAATTGTTTGGGATACAAGCCTTATGAGGCAGGCATCAGTGGTCTCTGTTTTACAAATATGAAAACTGAGACCAAGGGATCATACAGCTGTTAACGTGGCACGGTCAAATTACAACTATCTCAATTCAAAACTCAGGCTCTTAGTGACTAGGCTTAGTGACTTCGTGACCCCAGCTCTTTCCAAAACATTAAGAAAAATACTAAATTATTACATAAAATTTATAATAAGTCAAATTATATATTGAAGTGTCAAGAATCATAAGATTATATGATTAATCCAACTAGTCTCTCCATGAATATAACAATTTTTAAGTTTTATTTTTTTAAAAGATTTTATTTATTTTTGTGAGAGAGCAAGGGAATGAGAGAGAGAGAGAGAGAGAGAGAGAGAGAGAACGTGCACAAGCAGGGGGGAGGGGCAGAGGGAGAAGCAGACTCCCCGCTGAGCAGGGAGCCTGATGTGGGACTCGATCGCAGGACTGGGGTATCATAGACCTGAGCCAAAGGCAGCTGCTTAACTGAGCCATCCAGGTGCCCAATTTTAAAGTTTTAAATGCATGAATGAATTATCTAGCTGTATAATTGTACAGCCTAATATTTTTCACATTTGATACAAGATCATTTTTATGCATCTGCTTACTTTTTAAATTTTTTGATCTTGGTAGCCTTTTTTGTACTTATAGCTTTAGTTATATTCTTTAATTATAATATAGTAATAATAAGAACAATGCTGATGATGATATTGTTGATGGTCACCTTTTTGTACACTTAATGTGTGCCCAAAAACATGCTAAGCAATTTGTTTGCATTGTTTCATTTAATCTTTTTTTTAAATTTATTTTTTAAAATTTTAATTCCAGTATACTTAACATACAGTGTTATATTAGTTTCAGGTATACAATATAGTGATTCATCAATTCCTTATCTTAGTGCTCATCAAGATAAGTGTCATTTAATTGTAACCAAAATTTTATATGGCAGTTATTAATAATTAAAGATTAAGTCAAATAACTTTATGAAATCACACTGTTAGCAAATGGTGGATCTCAAATTGGAATTTAGGCAGTTTTTAAAAGAAATGGCACAAAAAAATGGTGGAAATGTACTTATCCTGATTATATTTAATTCTTATTTAGAAATAATCATTTGCCTCAATGCCAAATTGAATGCTATATATACTTATCTCTATGGGAATAACTTGCTGACTATTAATCTGTTGACTAAGATCCTAACTGTGAGCCATTTAACACATTAGAGTAATTTCGATGAATTTGATAATGTTTTGCTGGTTCTTGGGACATTAGCTGTTTATTCATGTTATCTACAACTTGTAAAAAAGAGAGGGATAGACACTTAAGCTGGTAATGTCAACAAGGAAAAGCAATAGTATTCTATCCATTATGTGGAGGGGTTCTTGTGCCATTCATAAGGATTTTATAATTTGGAAGTTCAACATTTTACAACCAGTTAAGTTAATGTATTTTACATAAGAAAGAGTTGCTATGTACACTAAAGTCCATAATACTGAATTTATTCTGTATTTATTATGGAAGATGTTTAAACTAGTATTTAGTACATATCTGAATGTCTGAGGTGTATAGGGATATCAAAAATAATATAAAGTTGAGCTCTTTATTTATCTATTCATTGTTGATGGACACTTAGATTGTTTCTATACCTTAACTGTTATACATAATGCTACTATAAACATGGGGGTACAGATATCTCTTTGAGATAATGATTTCATTTCCTTTGGATATATGCCCAGAAATGGAATTCCTGGATCATATGGTAACTTTGTTTTTAATTTCTTGAAGAAAATCCATACTCTTTTCCATAGTGACTGTACCAGTTTATATCCCCACCATCAGGGTATAAAGGTTCCCTTTTTTTCACAGTCTTGACACTACTTGTTTTCTTTTGACTTTTTACTAACAGCCATCCTAACTGGTGTGATGGGATATCTCATTGTGGTTTTGATTTACATTTCCCTGATTATTAGTGATGTTGAATGCCTTTTCATATACCCGTTGCTATTTTGTATGTCTTTTTGGAAAAAAAAAAGTCTATTTAGCCTTTTTGCCCATTTTTAAATTGGGTTATTATTATTTTCTGTTGAGTTGTATGAGTTCCTTGTATATTTTGAATGTTAACCCCTTATAGGATATGTTATTTGAAAATATTTTCTCCCGCTCCATAATTTGCCTTTTCATTTTGTTGATTGTTTACTTTGCTATGCAGAAGCTCACTTCGAAATAGTCCCATTTGTTTATTTTTGGTTTCGTTGCTTTTGTTTTTGGTGTGAACTTCAAGAAGTCATTGCCAAGACTAATGTCAAGCAGCTTACTCCTACTTTTTTTTTCCTAGGAGTTTTACACTTTCAGGCCTTTTGTTCAAATCTTTAATTCATTTTGAGGTGGTTTTTTTGTATGCTATAAGATGGGGTTCTAGGTTCATTCATTTGCATATGACTCTCCAGTTTTCCCAACACCATTTACTGAAGAGACTATCCTTTCTGCATTGCATATTCTTGGGTCCTTTGGCAAAAATTAATTGCTCATATATGATGGTTTTATTTCTGGGCTCTTTATTCTGTCTCTTTGATCTGTGTGTCTGTTTTTATGCCAACACCATAATGTTTGGTTACTATAGCTTTGTAGTATAGTTTGAGATCAGGAAATGTGGCACCTGCAGCTTTGTTCTTTCTCAAGATTGCTTTGGCTACTTGGGGTCTTTTGCAGTTTTTTTATAGAATTGTTTTTTTGTGTTTCTGTGAAAAACACCATTATAATTTTGATAGGGATTGCATTGAATCTGTGGTGTGCTTTAAGTAATAAGGACATTTTAACAATATTGATTCTTCCAATCTATGAACACAGAATATATTTCCATTTATTTATGTAGTCTTCAACTCCTTCATCAGTGTCTTATAGTTTCCAGCAGAGTGATCTTTCCCTTCCGTGGTTAAATTTGATTCTAAGTATTTTATCCTTTTTGATGATATTATAAATGGGATTGTTTTCTTAATTTCACTTTCTGATAGTTCATTGTAGTTTGGCCTCAGGCCTCACAAAGACCCTTTTAAGTATGGTGAGCAGGGTATTAATCAAGGTAACATTATTAGCAAAGAACTGAAGGCGATGAGGAAGTAAGATACACAAATATTTAGGAGAAATATAACTGCGCAAAGGCTATGGGGTAAAGGCCGTGGGACTGCAGTGTGCCTGCAACTGCAAGAAGTCCAGTGCAGCATAAACAGCGAAGGAGGAGGACTCAGTAGAAGGTGAAGTTAGAGAGGTGAACAGGTGAACATAGGGAGGCCCTTAATGGGGTGGGGGGCAGAATAGGGTCATATAAAAGGATAGGCTATTGTGAAAATATCAACTTTATGACTAGAAGAGTGATCATGACCAATGTCACTTAATGTCTTCAGTGTATCATTCTGGTTACCGTGTGGAAAGCAGGCTGTGTTTTTTGGGGGGAGAAAGGCAGGTGGGACTAGGCAAAAGCAGGAGATGGTTTAAGTATTAGAGTAAGCCAAGCTAGGGTTGGTGGAGTTTGGTCCAGGGTATTCATGGGGAAGGTAGTAAGAAGTGATCAGACTCTGTATACAATTTGAAGGTAATAAGGATGGGATTTGCTTATGTGATTTTGTGAGGTATGGAGAAGCCAGGGATGACTATGAAGGGTTTGAGCTTTGAAGTGATTACATGATGAAGCAAACTAAATTTACCACTATTAAAAATTTTATAGAGAGTTTTTGAATGACCGTTAAGAGTTTCTCATTTTCTTTCAGTGTAACATTTATAAAAAGTACATTTAAGCATTTGTATTAATTTTTATTTATTTATCTGTTTTAATAGTTCTTGCCAGTAGCTTCAGTCCATATCGTGAAGGAAGATTTATAGAAAGGCGACTGCGATCCTCATCTGAAGGAACTGCAGGGAGTAGCAGAATGATTTTGAAACCAAAAGATGGAAATGTAGAAGAAGTGAATAGTCTAAGAAAGCAAAGAGCAGGTTCATCATCTTCAAAAATGAACAGTATGGTAAGTGTATTGCATATACTTGCATTTATAAAATAATTATGTATGTGCCTGGGATATTCATGCCTCTTGCAATATGAAAACAGACTGACAAAAAAAAAAAGACTAAAGAATAGATCCTTCATATGTGAAGGGAAAATCGGTCTCCTTAGTTGATGTCCCAAGTTAGGCTATGTTTTCACTTGAGACTCTTACGTGTCATGACAGATTGTAGCACACAATGATGGTTACCCTTAATTCCTATCTTCCTTGCTTCCGTGGAAAATTTTATATTCTGTCTTCTAGAATAAGACCCTGGGATACACAAGCTAAGAAAAAAAGCTGATCATCGTGAGGGTACCCTTTGATAACCATTATTTCACACCATCTCTCTACTCTGTAGCCACTCTAAAAATGTCCAGTTATAAGCCACACTTATGCCAGTACCACCCATTGACCCCTTGGTGGATCCCACTCTGCCTGTCCTTTACAGTTGCCTGTCCACACAGAATGAGGAGCCTTTGGGGTCAAGACAAAATGCCCATCCAAACCTTTGACACATTCTAGGTAACCAAGTTTCCAGATTCCTTGTCCAAACTGCAGGAGCCTTCAGGTGAGGGTGAAGGTAGCGTGTGTACAGGGGAGTCGGGTCTTAGTCTGCACTTAGGGGCTGTGGTGTCTTAGAGGCATGTGTAGGATGCTCCTTCACGGTGAGAGATAAAGCCAGGGTGGGAAGAGGTGATGAGTGGACTACCGCCCAGGAGGTCCGGAAGGCCTCAGGTCTCACAAATACTGGGGTGGGCTTGACTTTTGGAGTTCTCTTTGCTCACTTTCTCACAGATATTTCCTTTTTCAGCAGTATTTTTGATTCTTTTGTTTTTTTTTTGCACTTTAGACATGGGTCAGTTATTTATTACATTATAATTAATTGGCAGTATTTTTGATTCTTGATATTTAACAGTGTTTCCTAAAAATGATCTATCTACCTATTCATGGATATGTGTGAAAAATGCTCAAAACTAAAGTACTTGTATATTTTATCTCTATGTATTTTAGATGATTTGATTCAAATGAAAATAGGTCATCCGATTTTGACAATTGTATTGTGAAGAAGTCTTAAGTGACTGAGGCAACACTGAGTGAGAGCAAAACCATTGTGCTTGAAGTTAAAAGTTCTAGCAATTAGGTCAGGTTTGGACAGACCTTAATCTTGGGCAAATCAGTAACTACAAAACAACAAATGATAGTGAACTTTTTGTTTCCATTATACTAAAAAATGATTGTGTGTGTGTTTGTTTATATTTGTACATAGAGAAAGATCCTGTATTATATTTCATCTTTCTTTTGGTGCTGTTTTTTAATTATTGCTGTTGCTTTTTTTTTTTTTTTTTTTAGAGAAAGAGAGAGTGCTTGTGTGTGGGCTGGGGGGAAGTTGGGGGAAGAGGAGCAGAGGGAGAGAGAGAATCTTAAGCAGGCTCCATGCCCAGCACGGAAACTGACACAGGGCTCAATCCCATGACCCTGAGATCATGACTTGAGCCAAAATCAAGAGTCAGATGATTAACCGACGCCCCACAGTTGCTATTTTTTAAGTGCAAGAACATGTTAAAAAAGATTTCCAGCTGATGCAACATTAAAAGTTATGGCTAAAATGACTTTTTATGAAACATTTCTCTTCACAAAATTCTCATTTTTCCTTCATAGAGATGTATTTATAGTAATAATTGTACACTATGTATTAGACTTTTCCAAAGTTGGGCCTTTAACATATTCTATCTCATGTTTTTAAATAATATATTTAAATAATTCTCCTTGTAACATCGCAAATTACGCTTCTTACCAGATCCACTTTCAAGATTTAAAATTTAAAATGTCAGAACACAAAAATGCAAGTTTGTTCTTTTATTTGAGGCTTTTTACAGAATTTTCAAAAAGTGTCCCTGCAGTGGTATAGATCGTCCACTAGATGGCAGGGTTACATCATTGTCATGGTTGGGGAAAGGTTGTTAGAACAGAAACGGTTAAAATATTGTACACGTTAATTGAATTTACAGGTCACGCTTGTTGAAATAAATACTGATGCTTGAATTTCCATATGAAACCTATCAAAAATTATTTCATGACTTTACTGTTTTCTTTGGATTTTACAAACTATAGCTCATCCTTTTAATTCACAGTGTAATCATGAATTTAAAATGCATAAAATATATTCTTTAACTCATAGCAATATAAGGAACAAATTTTAGGACTCTTCAGTAATTTTAGTTATATGTTTAAAGTGACTTATATATTTAAGAAATTATAGCTTTATGTGTGAATAGTGACACACATTTTCTATATTCCTCTTCCAAAGTAATTCAAGCAAATGTATGTATTTAAGAAAACATTCATGTTCAATCATTCTTTCCTTTTAGAGCAATAATAATAGTAACATGTATTTTTAATACTTATTTGGACCATGGGACTGCTCTAAATCTTCGTGTGTATTATCATGTTGAGTCCTTAGTCATACTATGACCCAAGTGGTGCTATTATTAATCACATTTATAAAAGAGGACATTAAAGCACTGAGAAGATAAGCATCTTGCCCCAAAAATACAGATAGTTGGTGGCAGAGATAGGACTTAGATTTGGATTCTACCTGTCTGACTTTAAACCCTAGATGCTTTGTGGGGAGTATAATAGATTTAAAATTAATTTTTTGGCATTATTTCCTTGTAATGAAGTTAACACAGTTAAGGCAGCCTATACTTGCTCTAGGTATAGGCTACCACCCTCTGTAAGGGATACAAAAAAGAAACAAAATTTAGTGCTGCATCTGAACTTAAAATATGGTAGTATTTATTGATATGCTAAAGATGTATCAACATCTTTACTGAAAGGTATCTCATCTAGAAAGGAGCTTTGTCACAAAAAAAATCATATTTAGAAGGAACTCGAGTATTTTGTCTAGTTCATGGGGATTTAAGGTTACCCATAGGATACGGCTTTATTTATTAAGATGCTGAGGGTTTCTGAATGACCAAAGATAGACTCTAATAAGTTAGATAGACCACAATTCTAGTGTTTTTAGTGTATTTGTATGGGAATATTTCAGTTTGAAGGGAGAGGGGAGGATGTATTAACTCTTGGAACATCAGTGGCTCAGAAGAAATTGGAGTTGGCTTAAATTTATTACAGGAAGCTAAAATATATCTGGAAAAATTTGATAAGCATTCACATTTATTATATATTTTCAAGCTGTTTTAAATAAAGATTTTTCTTCATTTTCCTCTATTGAGTTATTTCCTTGATAAAATAGTATGGTCCAAATATTTTAGAAAGCTTTTCTAAAAATAGGCTCGTTCTTTCTAGGAAATTTCCCTCCAGACTGTGGTATATAAATGAATAAATTTAAGGATATGTCATGGTTTCTCCAACAGTTTTACACAGTGACATTTAACTCCATATGTATTTGCAAGATCACCCTGCTCTAAAAGATAATATTAATATGAGGACATATTCATATGTAATGGACATTCATATGTAATGGATAATACAGAGGCTCTGGCATCCTTACAGCAAGGAAAGGGCTTGAATGTATGAATAAGGATAAGCTAGGATATGTGTTTGCAAATAACCTCCAAATCTTAGTGACTTTCATAATATGGAATTATTTCTCACTCAGGCTATATGTTTGTTGTGGAAGGTTCTGGGAGTTCTGTTTAATGTCTTATTCTGTGTCCGGGCTGTTCAGCTAGCTACCATTGCAAATACTGCCTTTCATCATGGCAAAAAGATTTCTGGAGGTTCTCATCCCAGTAATAAATGCTCTGACTTGTGAGAGACTCATTTCACTTTCTCTCACAATTTATTGACTAGTTCTAGTCACTTAGCCCAAACTAGCCACAAAAACTCCAAGAAATACAGTCTCTTCCTTGTGTCTGGAAGGTGTAGACCAGATATATTTGGTGGGCACTAATGACTATCATATTCTCAAAAAATTTAGTGTATCTCAGTTCTTTTAATTAACTGAGAATTCCTGTACCCCTAATTTACATGGAGTCTTGCTCACATGCTTAATTGACATTATTAAATATATATGTAACTTAACGTCTTTTGCTAATTTCTACCACTGAGGCCCAACTGCTAATGTTGAGCAGGGACTCCAAGAGGCAGTGGGAAAAGAAGAAAGTACATTCATGTTCAAAGAAACACCCCACCTTTACCATCCACCAGGCAAACGAGCTCTACTGGCCTTTTGGTATATGTACTTTCACACTTACATTCTGTTGCATGAAGGTTTTTGAAGCTCAAAAATTAAGAGCAAAGGGAAGATGATAATTAGAAGATCTAATTCAAGAAATGTTTCCTCCTAACTCTGAAATCCTAAATGAGACTTCCAAATATGTAAAAATGTTACTGGCTTTTTGAGAGTTAAAATAATGATCTCAGCTTTTGGTTTAACTCATTGTCAAGGGAATTAAAGGTAATATCATTGCAAGCTACAAGTACATTTAATGAGAAAAAGGAGCCATTGATATTTGTAAGGAAATGGAGGCACACAAATCGTTCTTCTCAATCCTCATAAATTTTCAGAAGGAAAATCACAAGTATCACTCATTAAACATTGAATTACATTTGTTGATAACTAGTATATTAATTTTAGATTAATAGCACTAATCCATAATCCCTTTATTGATTTTTCTAGTTACTGATGATACTTTTCCTATCAATGTACTTCTAAGTTGTATCACATATATGGCACCCACTACATAGTTATTTGAATGAATAGATTTCATTTTACCTATTATACCACATTCATTTAAATGGACGAAGTTTTGTACACGTTAGCATTTCTGATAGCATCTAGCATAGTGCCTGATACATAATAAATATGGGTGAATTAAAGGTGTAATTGTTGATCAGGTTGCGACATATGCTCATATAGATACGAATTTAGTAGAATCATTGTATGTGGTGTGCTAAGGCACATTTTTTGACATTTTAATTTGTCAAATTACATTTATTTGTCATATATTTGT